AAAAAAAAAAAAACATAGCAACTGTTTGAAATAAGGCACATGAAGGTATCTTGTTTCCTTTTCCTCCCCCCTCCTAGAGATAACTATATTGGAACGCATCAACAATCCGTGATGTATATATATATATATATATATATATATATATATATTTACACGCATGCTTGAAAACAATGACATGAGAATTACCACTTATGGTGTTGTTATGAGATCTGGTTGACTTGCAAATATACATATGCATATACATATATATACTGGTGCTATCAGGCCATCAACAAGGGAAGCCTTCACTCTGAGACACAGATACCATCAACGCGTATGATAGAGACAAAAGGGCGGGTTGTAGGGGAAGCTCGACATCCAAACTATATCACCCCCATTTTTATTAAGCCAGTGACTCTTCGAGATGTAGCTATACGAACCCCCCGGCATCGCTTGGAAATCAACAATGTCTTTCGACTCCGAAAAAGAGACACGTTCCGAGATTGGAGTTCGGCAAAGTTCTCCTCATCCATCTGCCTGCGGGAAGCAAGGCTAATAATAAGATGTGACTGACATACGTACATACAACGATCTATTAGTAGTGTCCCTTCAAGCAACTTTTCACTTTCACCGGACGGTTTGCTAAGTCTCCCCCCTTGTATTGCGATTCTCGGGTGAAGGGGGAGGCGCATGGATTTGACAGGAGAAATCATCCGTTTCAAAACCATCCGTGGGGGTGCAGGAGAACCACAGAGTCGGGATTTAACCGCACGAGGTACCCGATCACATCAGGCGCACAGCAAAAGTTCCCCTTTCGAGAGAATTTAAGGAGAAACGAAGCGAGAACGAATGGAAGTCCCCTTGTAAGGGCAAGTTATTGATTGATTTGACCTTGGAGGAATCGTCATCCTTTCACATGCTCATGATGAAAGATTCCTGTCAGGCGTTCTGCAAGTTTTCCGCAAACCTTGGACATTTCTCGGGTTCAGCTGAGTTCGTCGAGCTGTAATTATAGGAATTAATCTTGATACGGCAGTAGGCTATATCATTCTACCTGTGTCTTAAAATAACGGTTGGCGGTTTGTTTTCGATCCCCCTCCATTTGACCCTGGCAGCTCAAATGCGAATCATTGAATGGATTCTGGCTGTGTGTGCCGTGATATTGACTGACTATTAGCTTTCACTGCCGTTCCAGTCAGCCCTCTGGTGAACTAGATAACTATGCATCAAGGGGTAAAAGGGGACTGAAAACACAAATCACATGAAAATCCATTTCTTCGAAAAATTCCTCGGTTCCATGCATACCAGCGTATCCCTTATTAACGGACTGACTGCCCTGTCCTTTGTAGAGGATGCCCTGACTTGTTGGGTGTTGTCATCAATGGCGGAGAACAGACATCAGTATCTATGGAGTCAAAATACGGGGGCATTTGCCCTTTTTTTTTTTTTTTTTTTTTTTTTTTTCTCTCTTCAATGATATCCAAATTTCTTATTTTCGTCTTCTACGTTTTAACTTACTATTCTTTCATTCTCTCTTTTAATAAGGTACCAGAAGCCCCTCTCTCCAGTTGCATTGTGAAGTATGTACTGTTTTTCTTTATTATTATTATTATTATTATTATTATTATTTTTTTTTTTTTGAATTGCGTGGGCGAACAAGTTCTGAACTCCTTTTGTCTTCATTAGACCAACTCACGCCACTCTTTTTTTTGAGAATCTATTTTATTTCCCATTCTCCCATAGATAAATAGAGATAGATTTCCAGGTTCTTCTCTTTACCTATCATTCGTCTCCGCGGATTTAAACATATAGACTCGTCATCTTATGTCGACATAATTCATAATTCCAAGGATTCCACCGCTCCACCTGCTTCTGTCCGAGCTACATCGAATCTAAAGAAGTTTTTGATAGATTCAACCACGAAGCTCGCCCGAGCCTTAAATCATTGAAGGGAAGAACAGGTGTTGGTATATCCACATGACGTCCCGCTTCGCATCACGGAGGGTACTTAGATTGTTGGGCTCCGCCCCAATATTCGCCGTCGCTGGTGGCATAGCTTTCTACGCAGTGGCATCATACACCGGAAGTCCCAGTCGACCAGGAGCCAAGAACAGATCTCTCCTGCCGAGAGACATCCCACCCAGATTCCCTCAAGTCAAGTCGCGAGATGAACAAATATCGGAGTTGAGACGGAGCGCGAAAAACGAGCTCCAGCCTACTAAACAGATAACATCAAGATTATCACAGGGAGGAGAAGGAGACAAGGATAAAGAGGGTATATACAACCTTCTAATCATCGGTGCCGGTGCCACGGGGGCAGGCATCGCGCTCGATGCTGCGACGCGGGGCTTGAAAATCGCCCTTGTCGAACGAGAGGACTTTAGCAGCGGGACGAGCAGTAAAAGCACAAAGCTAGTCCATGGCGGTGTTCGATACCTTGAAAAGGCTATCTTGAACCTAGATTACAACCAGTACAAGCTGGTGCGGGAAGCATTGCACGAGCGCAAATATTTCCTCGATATCGCCCCGCATCTCTCGACGTGGCTGCCCACTCTGCTGCCAGTTCGCTCATGGTGGCAGGCCCCCTATCTGTGGGCGGGAGCTAAGATGTACGACTTGCTGGCGGGCCACCAAGGGCCACCCGAGGGTTCATACTTTATGACCAAGAACAGAGTGATGGGCGCTTTCCCAACGCTGAATGTGGAGGGCTTGGTTGGCGCCCTCTGTTACTACGATGGTCAGCATAATGACTCGAGGATGAATGTTTCCCTGGCCATAACAGCTGCGCTGTATGGTGCTACAGTTGTTAACCACATGGAAGTTACCAAGTTGGAGAAGGATGTCAATGGCAAGATTTGTGGCGCACAGGTTCGGGACACGCTCAGCGAAACTGGAAAAGAAAATGTGGCATTTACCGTACGCGCGAGGGGAGTGGTTAATGCGACTGGGCCCTTTTCAGACGCGATTCAAAAAATGGATGAGACCACAAAGAAGAATACAGTGGCACCGAGTAGTGGTGTCCACGTTGTCCTCCCTGGATGGCTTGGGTCCGAGAAACTCGGCCTCGTCGATCCCTCATCAGATGGACGCGTTATTTTCCTATTGCCGTGGGAAGGAAATCTGATTGCTGGTACAACAGATAGCCGCTGTGAAGTAGAGAGACAGCCTATCCCTCAAGGGAAGGATATCGACTGGATTTTGAACGAGATTAGGAAACAGTTGTTACCAGAAATCAACTTGAGCCGCTCTGATGTGCTCTCTGCATGGTCTGGTATCCGACCACTTGTCCTTGACCCCATTTCTAAGAACACAGAGTCCCTTGTACGAAGTCATTTGGTTACGGTCTCAGAGTCTGGTCTGCTCACCTGTGCCGGTGGAAAATGGACCACGTAATCGCGAAATGGCCAAGGATACGGTCGACAGGGCTATAACAGAGTTCCAATTGAAGCCACACGGGCATCAGAAACTGCCTGATATCAGTGGTATTGGTATTGACGAGACTGCGGTACCCCTGGACGGCACCTGCAGAACGGAATCTCTGCCGCTCATCGGCGCACATGGTTATCACACCACCCTGTACATTGACCTTATCAAGAAGTTCAACTTTGATTCTGATGTCGCGCAGCACCTAGCACGCTCATACGGTGATCGCGCATGGGAGGTTGCTTCCTTGTCTGCATCCTCTGCCTCCTCGTCTGCTACCTCTCCAGCGACCGTCTCCCCTACCTCGCACGCACGCCTCTCCCCTTCCTACCCATACCTCACAGCGGAAATCCAATACGCCATCAAGAACGAGTACGCAATGACGGCCGCAGACATCCTTGCCCGGCGCACCCGCCTGGCCTTTGTGGACACTAATGCGGCCTTACAGGCGCTACCAGGGTTGATAGATCTGATGGCCGAGGAGATGAAATGGAGTGACGAGAAGAAAGAGCGAGAGTGGACTGATACAATCCGTTTTCTTGCTTCCATGGGATTGCCGGCAGATATGATGAGTGTGACGAGGGAGCAGGTTATGGCGGGCAAAGTAGCTGCGAAGATTGGTGAGGATGCTGTGGCTAGCGACTGAACAAATCATGAGTAAAAAATCCCCGTCCAACACATTTTCATCTTATGAAATAAATTCCATTCCTTTTTCCATCCATTTGCAAAAATTTATAGTGGTGCCCTTTAAAACCGCATAAATCACTCTCTCCCACTGATGTGTCACTCAAGATGAGACTGAGTCGGTAGGAAGAACGAGGGGAAGGAGATGTGACAAAAATGCTGATAACGCGGGAAATTAGATCCCCCCCTTCGAAACAAATATAGACATCAATTGATTTGAAACATCATATTAGCGATGCGAGAAGGGACGAAACATAATTAATACAGTTGTTTCATCAAAGCCCTTGGTTTGATATTCAAATCCTCTGTTCCTGAAATGCTATGGTGTAAGAGAAAAGCCAAAAACCATTCAACCTAGACATAATTATGCTGTGCGGACGGGGGCAACTTAGGACCCAACAGGTGTCAAGAAGTCCTCAATCTTGAAAAAAAAAACACAGGCCAATATGGAATATTGTAATCATAAAAATGGAGAACACGAGCAAACGTTGAAACTTGCAAAAATGGTAGTTGGAGAAATAGCTTGATCACTTCATACTCCCCAATGCACCTATGCAATCCGCCCCAAAAGCTCCAAAAAGCAATCCACCACCTGGTATACAGTAGAAATTCGCCAGCCAAAAAGGTCGATTCATATAGACGCGACCCAAAATAGATCAAGGAAACTAGGAGAAGTTGGAAAGCGGGAGTCCATTTCGATGAGGTATCGACAAGAAAACGAAAATAAAACACAAGGACAAGCTCCGGTTCAGGAGTGTATTTATCCGGTCATTTCAACATCTTCTTTCTCAAAAGCTTCCGGATTATGGGGAGCAGAAGTCTCAGGCTGCGAACTATTGGCATTGTTCTGGCAGTTCTCCGCCGACGGGGTTTGAGTGTCTGCAGCTTCGGGCTTGTTGGCGTTATCTAGACTAGCTTCCAGGCTACCAAGCAGATCAACTTCGCCGTCATCAAAAAGAACAGTTCCGCTGCTTGCTTCTGGTGCAGCTGATGGAGTAATTTCATGCGGTGAGGCCGACCCTGGTTGATCTCCAGGTTGAGGAGAAGTGGGTTCTGACCCGTCGGCCTTTGTAGGGGTTTGTGGTAGTGGTGCTGAAAAGCCATTTTGAGTATGTGCATCTTGTGAGAGGGGCTCAGAAGGAGGGAATTCTTGTCCGTTCTTGGCGGCGTCGCCGTTCCTTTCAGAGAGTGTTGTATCTGGGGTTGGGGAAATGATCTGCCGTGCTGTTGGCAGTGTTGGTTGCGATTCGGATGTCGGAGATATATTTCCGTCGGACGGCTTTGTAGTAAGACTAGCAGAGGCAGCTGAAAGAGGGAGGTCTGGGGAGCTGGACAAGACTCGTGGTGGCATTGACGCATCTGTTTGTTGCTCTTGTTCTGGGATCAATGGATGTTCTTGTATTGGCGGTTTTAGTTCCTCCTTTTCGGGAGCCTCGGGCGCATTGCCATTATCTTGGTTGGGTTTCTTAACAGTTCCCGCGGATTTCGAGTCCGGTGTTGATCCTTCCCCTTCATCGCTTTCTTCGCCCTCGTTTTCCTCATCCTCATCTTCGTATTCATGCTGTGACCCTGTTGTAATGTTGGAATTTTCAATCTTAACTTCTTCCACCATGTCCCCTGCAGCCTGGGAATCATCACTAGGAGCACGAGGGGCAGTGGGGACGACCTCCCCATTACCAGGCGCAAACATCACCTTCTTCCGTCTGCCTTTTCCAATACCCTTTGCTTTTCTCTTGGGTGGGGGATATTTCTTTTTTACCAGGGCCACAATACCCACATCCGCGCCTGCGACAACAACACCTTCTTCGTCTACTACCCCAACACCTTCAACAATCGTTCCTGGAGCGGGAGATGCGGCAACAACTGTCGCTTCAGCATTTTCAGCAACGACCTCAGCATCTTCTGTTATCTCCCCTTCTAGTTTATGACCTTCAGGCACCCAGGCTTCGTATATTGAGACCTTCCCCGTAGCTGCGTCAACCTTTTTGAACTTAGTTTTCCTCATTAGCTGTTTCTTCACGGGTTGCACCTCTATTGTCCTGTTTGCTGTAGCTGATCCATATAACGACGACAGCCCAGTCCTTCTCTTCGCAAGATATTCCACTTCGGGAGGTTCCATATGACGTGGTAACAATGTCCATTTTCTAGCGGTGAATGTGCGCTCGGACGGAGGAGGAGCTACGGCCGCATCCGCATCTTTGATCTCCTTCTCGTCATCCTCAACATTACGGGGCGTGGGTCGAATATATTTGCATCCAGCGCGCGCAGCACGTAGCAATGCTCGACTTGTTGGTGTTAAAAGATGACTGTCTTTAGGCATTGGTAATTCGGGCCGGGCTTGTGTGCCTCCGATTCTACGTTCTGGTTGGTCATCCTTGGGGGTCTGAGAAATCACAACCGTTTGCCGGATCCAGCGCCGTACTGGGAAACCTTCAAAGACATCGTGATCAATCTGTCCAGTTCTCGTCCTATGGATAGTTTCGGCGAATGCCTGGGAACGACGAGAGGATCGAAACTGGAATGACATTCTATCAGTCGATGAGTTTAAAACAGGGGCAAGTCGCATTTGGTAAATAAAATGGTTTAGAAAATATCATATCCGCTCAGGCATTCCCGAGACTCACACGCAAGGTTGTTTCTTCGTGCAACTCATGAAATCTTTCAATATGATATTGATCCCAGGGATGTTGTTGTTGTTTGGGGCAACGGACATAAGGAAGACATACCGGAGCCATTGCGAAACTTCAACAATGGGAGGTTGGATGCGGCAGGACTCCGCCTCTCAAAGAAGAGACTGGAGTATATCAAGGATTAGACAAAACTGTGTATATATTTAGCAGGTATCTCTACCGCGTGCGTATCCACTCTGGCGCATTCACATGTTGTGTCTTGTTGATGCTTTTGTCAAGGATGTTTGGTCAAGTTACCACGTGAAAGATGGAACGTCATCACGTGACAATTTTAACTTCCACGCACCACCTACTTTTAGAGTCGTTGAAGGACGAGAAGCAAAGCAAAAGACGAGGATATTTTGATAATGCTCGAGTTGAGCACTGAACGGGTTGATTTCTACGATATTTATTTATCGGTGCAGATACGACGCAGTATCTGCGGAAAGGAATATATTTATTGTTGGATCAGTGATATCGTGTCATAGGTGTGACGGCACCAGAAGCTCGATGGCCTTCACAATATCGGTTAACATTAGTACTGCAAGAAAAAATTCTAATACATATATATATGTACACAGAGTCCCATGGACTTCGCTGGGGATAAGAAATATGATTCTTCGCCCCATACTTTTATAAGGTTCTACGCCTTGGAACCCACCCATCCACAAACTGAAGCATAGCCCCATCAAATTAATCCCATCTGCAGTGGATTTGTTAGCAAAGGAACAAGCACAATCTAGATTTTGCTGTATGCTTACCCTGTATCCTTCTGCCGCACGATGCCACCCTCTTTTCCAGATTCTTTACCCTAAACAAAGAAAGGATTTAGCACATGTTCCCTGCACTTTCGACGGGTCATGAAAGGGTTAATTCTCAGCGTACCGCAGCTTCGCCTTCCACCACTAACTTATCTAGTTGGTAGAACTGGCTTATGACAGTTTGTCTCTGCAAACACGGGGGAAACAAATAATTAGTGAATATATTCCATTAAATCAAGAATGAGGTCTTTATCCGTCGAGTTGAGCATCAAAACGCGGAGCCGGAGGACGGGCAGATGAGGCGCTGTGGTGCTCACCTTCATCATGCGCAGATTCTCTATCCCTTTCTGCATTAGCTCCTGTATTTTCCGCGGATCCGTTTCATGCTGGTGTTCCCGATATGCATCTATCGTCCTTCTCCAGGCATATTCCCGAAAATTATATGCCGCAAATTGCCGCGATTGACGGAGAAGTGACCGGAACTGATGTAATAAAACAGCTAGTTAGAATAAAGAACAGCCAGCACATAAGAGTATGAGGAGATTTGACTGGAAAACAATACGAAATTCAGAGAGCAAAGGGAAGTACGAAAAGGAACAGGGAGAGAGTGAGCACCATACCAGCGAGCGAGCTTGGAAAGCGGTATTTACCTGAGTGGCAACGGACATGATTGGAGACTTGTAGACAAATTATAATGAATGATTTCTCTCCTTTATTTGTCTTTTGCGTAGAGTGATTCCTTCCCGAAGGTAGTTTACAAACCGACACCGGATATATGGTGTTTGGTATGCGGTTCTCGCAGCGCGGTGGATGCGACAGTGCGCAACGACTGAGATGCTGCAGGGTGTCTTCGGTTTGAGAATAATGAGACCCTCAATCTCGTGAATGATCTGGCACGGAATGTCTGTAGTAGCAGCAATAAAAGCAACGATGGCGCATGGGATTCGTCAATGACGTTCCAGGGTTCGAGAAGTGTCTACTAGCCAGACGTGGCTGTTCAGACAGACAGCAAGGAAAATGTCTTATACCTGGTAGGAGGGGTTAATCAATGATCGAATATGAATATTTCCACGGGATTCGTGTGTAGTGGAGGAGGAGGATGCTGCTGCTGCTGCTGCTGTCTTCCCTGGAGTCGTCCAAAGCTGGTTGCAGTGGTGGAATGGATAAGTTAATCAGAATACTGTTGAAGATCCAAAATGAGTTAGTCGCAATTCTGATGAGCAATCCGAACTTTGAAATATTTTACTTGAGTTAAAAAAAAATACAACCTCAATTTCTGGTCCTCTTCCACTGTTTAATGCATTTACTTTACACGGAGTTTGGCAGCCCCGCGATATCGCAACGGTGCCAAAATATACATTTCTTTACCGTTTATTGCAGATTTTCCCTCTGCCATCTCACCCGTGGTGCTGCTCGTTCTGAAGCCCCGGGGGAATCAATGGTGCATCTACCAACACCCCCCGCGACCCTGGCGCTTGAAGGAGACCCCGAAGAGCTATCTTCACAAGATACATCATATGTGGAGCTTTCCCGGAAGTTGGATAGTGTTCTGGAACACTACCTTTTTCTCCTGGATCAACAGCAGCTACTCCATGAAGAGATTGGACGACAATTTTCCGCTGTAGGACTTCGAATCCCTCTCCTCAGTTCGGGTTTTTCTTATTTATATCCTATTTCATTTTAAATATAGAATTACTAAAATAATTGGCTGGTAGGGATTTTTTTCTCTTGCGCGTGCGAATCGCTCATGTCCACCAGGCCGTCGGTATGGCGAAGATTACTACGATGAGAGAATGAAGGCAATGAGGAAACTGTATGTGCCTCCTCCTCACCAACACATCCTACACCGTGATACGTAGATGCATAGATTGTGAACAGCGAGAAAATGCTGACCCAGCTCTATATCGTCCCACAGTTCAATTAGCCCACCCTCGACAATTGAGTTTCTGCAAAATTCTCCCGACGCGACTTCTAACCAAACAGGGAGCAATCCGACGTTCGTTATAAAGAACGTTTTCCTCCCGTCTTCTCCCGCCAAAGGAGTCGACAAAGGTGACCCGGAGAGCCAAAACGACGAGAAGGGATCTAGCGCGTCCTCGCCCTCCAGAAGCTCTTCCCTTGATCCTCCCGGAATTTCCGAAGAACCGCAACAGCCTAGCAGCAACGCGCCACCCCCGCAGTCCCCCAATCCATTAAACTGGTTTGGAATCCTAGTCCCTACAGCTCTACGAAGTGCACAGCAAACTTTCTCTGAGGTTGTTGAAGGCGCCATACCTGCCCTGGCGAATGTGATCACTGAGATGCGAGAGGTGGAGAAAAAGGTGGAGGCATTGAGGGCCCTGCTGTTGGCACGTGAAGCTGCTGAGGGTGGATCACGCGAAGGGTAAAAACTTCCGTCCCAGTCGGCACGCCAGGGTGGCCAGCGCAAGGAGGGATCACGTCGATGGGCACACAAAGTATGACGCATGAAAGTCACAGATCGAGAGGACCTCGGCTTCATTTTGTAACTGCGGTCCGGCAAGGTCATTCATTACCGGGAGCCGTGAAGACTCGAATGTCTTGTTGACAATTAAGGAGCTGACGTGGAATCGTATCACGTCGTCTTCATTACCGGGGGATTTATCCGTTATTTACTTATTTATTAAGAGACCTATCCTTTGGTGGTGCTTGCTTCTACCCATTGAGCATCTGCCTCCACTTGCTCAATGTCCGCAAGGGGGCCTTCAGCTCTTCAACACAAAGCTCTCATAGCCCATTCCACGAGCCAGCCAAACGTTAAAAAAATAAATTAAATTAAAATAAAACAAAACCTAAAGTCCACGTTTGGTTGGTTGTTCAGGGCTTCCCGAAAATTGCAGCAGAAACGAGGAATGCTGTTCCAAAGCTTGCATTAACATCTGTTACTGGGCCTTGGCCTGAGCAAGGGATCGAACCAGAGAAGCAACGAGATGCTCAGTTTCGGGCTTCTGCCACTAACTGTCGTTCGACGTATAGATAGTATGTCGAGCAGAGTCTCTTGGGTTGCTAGGAAACACCGTATGAAGTAGGCAGGTTTTTTTTGGGGGGAATGTGATGTATAGCCTGGAGATTGATGGAAATGGTTAGATCTCATGGATCATTGGTTATCAACGACGAGTAACGGTGTGGACGTTGATGTTGATCGAATATATGTATGTCATGAGAGAATGGATACATGAATGCGGGTTTTCATTGGATTTCTATCATATCCCTTCGATAAGAAAAACAGTCATGGGATCGGAGTGTCTTTAGGAAATGGAGCCAACGATGTCAGAACAGAACTGAGAGATGGTAGAACAACTTGTTTGTCCAATTATGAAGATACTAATAGAAGAAATACTCTCCGGGAAGACATAACAAACGGAAGATATAATAGGTGAGACACGTGCATGTAAAAACTAGACGCCTGCAGCGGAGGGAAGCGGAGCTTGGTGGATAGGGAAAAGATGACTGTAAAACAAGGGATTGCAATCGCTTTTGGGTTCAATACAAACTACACATGGTCTTTAAAAAGGGAATGACTCCATTCATTCTCCTCGTCATCAGGAGAGGAAATCTTTCAACCCCAAAACTCTGCCTTTTTTTGTATGCTTTGGCTCAATTGACCTCTTATTCCCCCATGTTCATTGAATGCCCGATGGGAATCCGACGGCCATTTCCCATGACTGGTAGTTTCGAAGATGCCAACGTTTCTCCTTCCGTCTTTGTCTCCAGGAGGATGTCTTCATCGTAGTAGCTAGAGCATCTGGATCTTTTTGGTCCCTGGCCCTTACGAAACGGTGTGACATGGGGGCTTAACTCACGCAACCCCATCCAAGTTTCTTTCCGGGGGCAAGACGAACCAGTGGGGGGTTTTGCAGGAATGTCTGCATCTTCGTCTTCTGCAATCTCGAATGGCTGCATGGGGTCATAGGCCGAAGACGACAGCGGACACGCTGAGTTCGAAGACGACCTCACTTTCTTTCGTCGGGGCGGAAGCACGTAGTGGCCTCGTGGGAGAGTGGGTGAGATGCGCCCACGTATATAAGCCCTCGGGGATGTGAAGCATTTTTGCGTCTTGCGAACGAGAACTGGGGTCGATGGGACGGGGAGTTTCGATCTGTGTTCCCGAAGGGAGGGGGAAGTAGAAGACGCTACCGAATCCGGAGCGTCATATTCTTCATCCCTGGTGTGTAATGGTGGTGATAACTTGGACCCCGCAGCAAAGGCGGATGACGAGGGCGACATGTTTTCTTTACCGCTTCCAACACGAGGGCTAGAGTGATGCACGTTGAGCACCTGTGACTGCGGAAGATTGCAGTCGGAATTGTACACTTCCCGTCTCATCCTGCTTACAGATGGAGAATCATCAGATTCGTATAACTCGCTGGGAGATTCGACGTTTAATCCATCGAGCCAGCATTGAACGTCAGAAAGTGAGGTGTTTTGGAAGCATCGAGTAAGTTTTGCTTCGTTCAAGTTCAGAGGAGAGCTTCTTGCCTCAGGGGTACGCAGAGGCACTGCTTTTCCCGCCTTGTATCGGCTTAGGAATTGTGAATTGGCTGCTCTTGGGGCGGTTGTCGGATTGGGAAATGATGGGGAATTGAAACCACTGCTGATGGGCTCATCCGCCATGGGTACTGTTGTCCAGCGCGTTCCATTTGGAGAAACTTCAGGCACAAGCAATAGAGGAGAGGATAGTTGATCTGAAAATTGAAAATGGTTCTCTTCCGACTGGGCTCCAGGGCTCTGCTGGGTATTGGTCTTTTTAAAGACTAACTGCTGCGAGCTCTGTTGATTTCGCCGCAGGTTTAATTTTGATACTCTTGAAATGTGGGGAAGTTGCGGTGATCTTGGCGTATGGCTGCCTGAGATTTCCTTCATACGCGCTGAATAGTCACGGAATGGAAGTGGCCTTGTTAGAACTGTTTGGGATATCCTTTTTCGGCTTGTGTTGGGTGAAGTTTTCCGCAATGCTTGCAGGAGAGTGGCGTCGACAACCCCCTCGTCGGGTGGAGAAGAACGGAGGCCTGCATAATCCGCCTCCGACTGACCCTGATTCTGGCGATCCAGGTGTTCTAGAAAAAGCTAAAAAGTCAGAATCCGGTCCCTGAGAGTGTGAGATAGAAATCTAGGTATTAGGTCAAGGCCACGAGTAACATACGGTCAATCGAGCCTGGCCGAGAGCCCATCGCCAACGAAATTCCTCCGAGAACACACCAGTGACTAGACGCCGATTCTGAAATACAGAAGCTTATCGCTGTCGAAGAGGAACTGGAACCCAGCGGGCGGTTGTGCAGAGACACACACCACTTCGGCCCAGCTGTCAACAGGGAGTGGTTTTGCGGGTGGGTAAACAAACCAGGTGGCATTGGGGGAGGGAATCGGGGACGTGGGCAGTAGCGACAGGAGACGCAGCCTGCCTTGAATCAGCAACGCAGCGCCCCGGTGGAGGAGCTGCAGAAGGAACATCGTTCGGTGTTTGGTTATCCATCCCCCGACGGATTTTAATGGCCACAAGATATGCCAACGAGGGGCCATGGATATAGAAGCGGAGCGAAGCAACCTCCTGCCCCTTTCTCAAATACGGAAGCTTGGGTAGCGTCATCCAGCGGGGAATCCATCCGTGAGGAAATCCACATGGCGTGTCACTTTTTGCTTTGTAGCTCTCAGGGAACCACTTCGTCTTGTTCAGAGTAGGATCTTAGAACACATCCAACTGGGGATGTTTCATGTGAGGGAGTTCATTGCTCAGGCAGAGGTGATAGATTCCGTAGTCGTTTGCCAGCTTCTCAGCCAGAGTATGGAGGGCCTGCAAAAAAGGGCATATGGTAGGATCAAGGGGGTTGTCGGGAAACCGTGAAGCTATTTGTGTCAGACCATAGTTAGCAGTCAGTTATGCACCTGCTTACCAATGAGAAACATGATATTATAGCTCATGGTTATATAGAAAGAAACTGTTGACTCTCTTTGAGAAGAAAGAATGCTATAGGGATGAAGCAGTCGTAGAAGATACGGTGTTCACTCAGCTGTTGACTTTGCTGATGCCAGAGCAACTTGTCAAAAACGTGAACCTCTCTGGCTGATAACATGAGCGGACACTGAAGCAGTTCATAATAATACCTTCACCCCAAAACACCGTAATCGAGCATCTTCTTTTTCTACTTTCTGTCATTTGTCTCCTGCCCTCTTGACTCATGTCTTCTCCCTCATTCCCATGCAGTTGTCACAGTGACATGCTGGTGGTGGGAAGTTTCCGTAGAGCATTCCCCAAAATGGCCATTTACATGAGGTAACTATCTGAACCTGAGAATGCAATTCTTGTTCTTTTCATAAATGAAGCAGATGCAGGCAAGCAAATATATTCCATGCTAGATGCGCCTCTAGTATATCTAGTACATCCTCTGTTGGGTTGATTCGAGGTACGGGTAAATGATTCTCACTCCGGGATCTCTCAACATCGGTGCGTATGAGAAGATTCCTGCTAATGTCGAGTTCCAACAAGCAAGCTACATACAGAGCCGCCCGCAGTCAACGGTAAATCATCCCGAACAATATTGACCTTGGGAAGTTGGTGTGTTTCTGACGGCGAGTCACCATCCGGAGTGGCTCATTCTGAGGGCCATTCCAACGCTCCCAGCGGGGGGGGGGGGGGATGAGGGGTAGGGTTACCAGAAGCTTATTTATTTATTCGAAGAAGAAGAGCCATTGACCACCCCGGCCACGTCCTACTAACTAACTTAACCAGTTAGGGATTATCTTAAGCCATCTTGAACGGCCTGAAACGTAGCATCCAATGCTAAACCTCTCGGCACGGCCGTCATGGGGTTAAGGCTAATTGCATTCTCGCTTTCAGGATAACTTGGTTAATTATACTAATTATGGGGTAAATACCCAACTAGCTACTCGCCCAAGTGCCCTGAAATACAAAGGGTTACGAGCAAAAGTGCCTTTCTAGAGGTTTTGATATCTCCACGAAAGCCTTTCAATGGATAATGTGGTAGCAGTTACAGATGCTCTGCCAATTCCCAAGCGAGCGAGCAACCAGTTCAGAGCATTTCAAATGCATAACCAGATTAGATATCAAATGCCTGATATATCCACAACTCAACCATTACCAGTTAATATTAAATTCGGTCAAGTCAAACTAGGTGCAGGAAAGCTGATTCTTGCATGCCTGAGTGTGTTCCTTGCACTCTGTGTGTGGCCAGGCTTTGCCGACAAGGATTGATATCAAGACTGTTCACTAAGCTCAGCAGATGAAAGTCTCTTGAAGACTCTTGCCCAGCCCTCTCTCTGTTGGATTTGATGACTGCAGCACACTTTCAACTGGTTAACTAGTTAGTGGGAAATATCTTGAAATGGGCTGCTCGCTTGCTTGGGACGTACGTTAAATAGCATCTGAGGTAACTAGCTAACTATCTGAGAAATCACTGTTGGATATTCTGCTGCGCTTCACGCAACCCCTCTCTAGCCCAGAGGCAAGAAGCTAATATCAGCCTTGGAAACAAAACATTCTCGACGACCAATAAAAAGTGCGGCATCCCGGATCCTGTGGACACCATGACGATACGAGTTGTCGCCTTGGAATCTGCGCTATGTTTCGAAATTTCTCAAGTCCCGTCCCAGGGAGCCAATTGCAAACGGCACAAGCCGTGTCTGTCTGTGGAGTGACGGCCGCAGGAAGAACAGGGCGAGGACTCTTCTTCCGCAGAATCGTCGTTCTATCGTTCTTTGTTCTCTCTCTTCTCATGCTTTTCTGAGTGAAAAGGACGCTCCTTTTCAACTCTTTTCTTTTTCTTTGTAACATTTTGGCCCCTGCCTGTCCCTCTGAGCTAGAAGCTTTGCAGTGTCCTTCCTCTGTTGATCAGGGCTCTGGGACCCTTCCACTACATTTCGTTGATAGATCCAGTGACTGCTGGGCTTGCTGGCGTTAACCTGACGCAGATGTGTCTTGTTCCCGACAGAGAGTGTTATTTCGAGACGTCCCGAGTTTGGGATTGAGGAAGCCAAAGATTGGCTGAGATTTCCTGCTTCGAGAGCCTGCTGTCGCTATCATGTACTGTCGCTTCCTTCAAACCACAGAAAATTGGCACCTACGTTGTGGTACGTTCTGCATGATCCCCCCCCCCCCCCCCCCCCCCGTATATATCGCGATCCGGCGTGGAGGAGTGCAGCCTTGGTTAACCGAAATTGAGCGTGAACTCGATTACTGCTCCATTTCTGTCGCGTCTGTCTCTCCATGCGCTTTTCGTGGCAGCACTGTGATGCGTTTATTTTATATGGTCACCCCCTCGGCATGGTGTCCTGGAAATACGCTGCGTGCATCTGAGCTGGCGATGGCGAAACTGACTAGCCATATAGACATCGAATGTTGTTTATAGATCTGTATCTTAAGTGGACTTGAAGTCCTCCATTATATTCACTCTCCTGTCTGTTTACACACTTGCTGGCTCCGCAACTTAACGACACCGTCATCGAAGGTTCTTTCTGAGTGCCCTGATTTGCACTCTACTGTCTTTTACGCCCCCTTTTCAACACTCTTTCGACGTCTTGAAGTTTTTGAACTTTGAAATACGACGTGTGGTAAACCGATTCTACCTTGATTACACTAGATTTGTAGAATTTATTTTCTTGTCATTCGTTTTTCTCTGGCCTACTTTCTCAAAGGTTTCGTCAACCTCTCCACGATATCGGCGATATTTGTCAGCTTGAACCTCATATATTCTCCCCCAACACCATCGCGGCGCTTGATATGCAACCCAGCTTGAAACTTCTTACGACTTCTCTGTGTTCGTCTCTAAACTCTCCGATATACCCTTACATATAACGGCTTTCTCAAAACCAAAAGACATAACGAATAGACCTGAGGTCTCATGAGTGACGCTCTTAAGGGGAGAAGTAAGAGTGGAGAGAGAGATGGCGGGTCGGTTCGGAGGGCGAGGGAGAGAATGGAGGTTGGGGATAGAGGAATCCCGCCTTTCGAAGACCTTGAGAAAAGCCGATATCCACAAAAGCCACCCCAAGGTTTTAGTCATCCCCGACGGCCACCCCCTGTTCCTGTTGCATTCAAATCCGTCGATAATACGTCGAAGGGCGCTGTAATTTCGAAACCTTCGCCAGCTCCGCAATGGCCCTTGCTCGACGACAGAACTGGATCGCGAAAGGGTAATAGCACTTCGGCCGACTCTTTGGACTCTTCTCAACGCCAAGCTCCTCAACGGCCTGCTCGACCTGACAATGTCCCATCATTGTTAGATGCGTCCAAAATCCATGAATACACGCCCAGCATGCCATATCAGAAGCGTCCAACCCCGTCATCCCTTCAGCAAACGCAAAACGGTAAGTCAATGGCCCAAACGAGAGACGAGAGGTTGACATCTTCTGATAGTGTGTTTGGATTAACTGACTCTGGACCTCCGGGTTCTATGCCAGATTTTCCTGCCCCAGGTAGTCAAATCACCCAACCGTCTCCCGCTGCCACTGGACCTCCCGGTCGGAGGAATCTCAATCTTCGTCCTCCCCCTTCAACGCGACGGACTCCATCCTCACATTACTCGAGCACAACCTTCGTCTCACCAATCCCGGAAGAATTTCCTGAAAGCCCGCCGCGAAAGGGTGGGTCATACGCTTCAAGCAAAGTTATTCCATCCAGTTGGGGATCTGCACCTCCAGGTGCTGACGCGCAGAAGTCGTCAGATGAGGAATCCCTTCACGATGTAGATGACAAGCCAACTGTTTCCCTTGTCAGACAAGCCAGTCTGGGGAAGAGAGGAAAGGCCTCGCTGTTAACAATAAATAAGCCTCAAGCCGACCAATCCGCTAATGGCAATCAGGATTCTAAAGCAAGGAGTGACAAATTAGTCGATGGAAAGCAAGGGACTAGTCCTATCGGCATGGCTGTATCAGCGGATGCAAATGTGGTGGTGGTGAAAGATCCTACTGCTATATTATCAAATCAGTCCGCACCGCATTATTCGGATGGTCATTCAGCTTCTGAAACATCAGACGATGATGAGTGTGAAAAACCTCCAATTCCTATCATGTATTTTGAAAGTAAAGCTCCAAAGCCGCTTTTGAGGAAGACTGAAAATGATAGCTTTCCTGCTTTGCCTGAGTCGGATCAAAGAAAGCGACCCCCTCAGCTCGATATTGCCGCCGTCCGTAGAGCTGAAGCCAGGGGGAGTTTAACAAGCTTGCCTGAGCTAATTCGTCGTGCGACCAGGCTTGCGTCGAACCTAGACCGTGGCAAGACGGCGAGCAGGCTTGGGATGTTGGATATTCTGAATGCGAGCAATGATAATAGAAGCCGGAATTCTGGTACCATATCTGACATTCTAGCTGCATTCCCACCGCCTGCCATTGCAACTCCAACTGGCGGGGAGTGGTGGCCAGGCCCCTTCACCGACACCGAACCTAGACTGCGCGCAGATGCAGAAAAGGGCCCGGCAAAAAGAAAGCGTCTGTGCTGTGGCATTCCGCTCTGGGCATTCATCCTAATCTGTGTTGTCGCTCTCGCTGTTGTTGCCGTCGCCGTAACGATCCCTGTTTTGCTTACCGTTGTTAACCGTCCGGATCCACCGCGACAATCGACAATGCCTGCGTCCG